TCCTGTTGTATTGCTTTCACGCCTACATCCTGCATGCTCAATACAATACAATTGTTATTATCTAGAGGTTTTGCCTAAAAAAAAGGGCAGACCCAGTGCCGGAGGCTCCCACATGAGTGGGGTCTGGGGAAGGGAAAAACCGAGGCAAGCCTTCCCCTCGCAAAATCTGCGGAGAGGCTGCTTCGAACCCGCGACCTGGTGACTCAGTGAGACAGCTCTCACCACAGGTTTTGCCTAGATCCAATCAAATAAGGACTACCCTGTAATTGACCTGCACGTAGTCAGAAGAATGTATTTACTTTAGGATTGCCAAATATTTGTCCTCGTGTCCATGGCCTTTTGTTTTGTCAGCATACTTTCTGTGCTCTCGCAGATTGTCAGCTGTTCATGTCAATACTTTCCCTGCTTCTATACATGTGGGTGCATCTCAAATAAGCTCATATGCGCATTGCAGAAAAAAATATTAAAGATTTTAGTACCTGTGCATTCATAGATTCTTTGGACTATGTATTGTTGCTTGCCTGATCACTGTTTTCCCAACAAATATATATAACCCACTTTACTCTATTTCCTGATTCCTGCCATCTAGATTAACTTTAATATCGTTATTATACTTTACAAAAGCCGAAGGGTGGGCCTGGTGCAAGCGGTAGAGTCTTACCGCCTGTGACCGGAAGGTCCCGGGTTCGAGTCGCGGTCTTCTCGCATTGCACAGGCGAGGGTAAGGCTTGCCACTGACACCCTTCCCCAGACCCCGCACAGAGCGGGAGCTCTTTGCACTGGGTACGCCCTTTTTTATTATACTTTACAAAAGTCAGTTGCACTCAATGCACTCAGGTTCAGATGTAAGCCCGATATGGTCAGCCAAAAATGTGGAGAACTATTGTGCCAAGGGAAATCCGCACATATGCTACATGGTGTTGCTTTTTCTCAATTCATACCCTTCTTAGTTTTCATGTTATTCACTGAAATTAATGGATTGTAGTTCCAAAACAAGGAACTGAGACCTACCATTCATGTCTATGCAAGGTTAGTATTTTTTCCATCTTATATGCCCAGCCTAGGAAAAAAAAATGTTTTCCCTCTAACTGAGGTAGTTTGTTTTTGTAGGCAATAGCTCCGACAGATTGCCAGCTGTTCCTGTGAATATTTCCCCTACTTCTACTCTTGCTGCTGAATTCCAGACTAAACCTAAGCTACAGTTTCCTTCTGTACATGATTTTAATGGAAGAAATGTTGTTTGCAGAAATAGGTTCATATGCACATATCACAAAAATATTGAAAGTTTCAGTACCTGTACGTTCATAGGTCCTTTGGCCTACGTATTGTTACTTGCCTGGACAGATTCTCTTCCAAAATAGTGTCTATTTCCTAATTACTGTCATCTTTGTTACCTTTAGTATTATTATTATGCTTTACAAAATCTCCTGTCCACTTGCTGCTTACCTCTATGGTTTATGCAGACATGCACATACTTATTCTTTATTGTGACCACTGCATTATCTGCAAAATTTACAACACATTTCCAAGCTACCGTTGCCTTCTCATGCGACATTTTTATGCTTGCTAGCCCGCGCAACTGCGCGGGGTTCCTGCTAGTTTACCTTATTGTTAGTGTGCGGTTTGTTCTGTGTTCTCCCCTGTTCTAACCAAGATATGTTTTGGCGCGTACTTCTTGAAGTGACTACAGTCCTGTAGTTTTTTTTCTTCCCTTACAACAGTAGTTTCAACACAAGGGTTTTCGTAGAGTTTGCAGCATTCATCACAAACATGTCCATGGAAGGAAATTTGAACTAGAAGTTGGCTAAGTTTTTAAACATTCAGAATTGTATATTTTATATTACAATAGTGGCACGATCCACAGGCTTTACACACAGTGTAGGTGTGTAGGTGCATCGAAGCACCAATGTTCGTACATGTAGGCTCGTGGACTCTGCAGTCAGGATTCATCTCTTCTGAGATCACAATGGTTGTGTTTAATCCCCAGATTACAGAAAGGATCTAAGTAATTCAAAACCAGAAGTAAAGCCTTTTTGATATCCCAATGTTTTCAGACTGGGGTGCTGATGAAGAAGTCGACCGCCGTTGTGAATCTTCACTGGAACCCAGACAACAAAGCTATTGAGACGATAGCAAAAGCAGTTCTTTCTGCTAAAATCTGAACTGTTGTAAATAGCATATGATTCCACTGCTATATCCAACAAAAAAGACATGTGAGCACCATCAGCATCTATCTATTACAGACAGCTATCAGGTAGTTCATCTGATGATTTCTTCCATGTGCTGTGAGCCTGTGATGGAATGTTCAGACTGAAAGGTCTTCAATAAACCAAAAATTGTTCCCAATGCCACCTTCACTTGCTCCCTGATTCATGTCAGCACAGAAAAGAAGAATCTTAGGGCCACTTTGGTAGAGCTGTCATTCCTGATGAGTGATTCTGATGGGGGAGAGAGGTTGGGAGCAGGTGAAAATCAATTCTGAAGTGATTCCTGTGGCAAATGAATGGGGAGCAGTGAGAAGCAGTAGAGAGCGGGGTTTTTTAGTTCTCAGCTTATAATGTAAATGGAGAAGTGATTCTTGTCAGCTCCCTACTAGAATCAAGTTGTATTTTAAGTGTTTGGTAGGGCTCCGCGGAAGCTGGGCTGGGAGGGGTGCCAAAGGGCCCCTAATGTCTCAGTAATGCTAATACGATAGCACCTGTTTTGAGCAAAAGAAAAACCAACCAGGACAATAAAATTCTGTTTAGCTGTTCTCATGTTTGCTTTATGCAGGATAAAATCACCAAAATAACTTTTGGAAACAAGAAAAAACATTCACGTATTCTTTCAGTTATGGTTTTGGCATTTTGCTGAACTGTAACTCTGTCAAATGCTACTAGAATGTCCTGTGATTGGCTATTGACAGGAAAATACTAAGTGAAGTATATGTCCACGAATATAAGAAACAAATGATTTATTTTGTGTGCGTTGGGGTAGGGGTGGAAGCATAACTGACAGATGACCGCATGGCAGTATATACAATAGAAGGTCAAGGGTCCTGCTTGTGAGAGGACAGAGGACACCAACAACTATTTGAAAGGTACATTGATGTGGTCCAACCTACTAATCCGCCTCGGTCTCGTCGTCGCCTCCCCCTCGAAGACCGTCGTCTGATTCTGGCGACCAAAGAACGAGAAGGAGTGGAAGGGCCTGTTTGATTGGCAACCAAAACGTGTCACGACTAACCTTCGGTAAATTGTGGTTGACACAGAAAGTATGGTGAACAAAATCAAAGCCAAACTTGTGGTAAGTTTTGGCACGAAAATAAGTCTATAGCATATGGGGCATGGTGCTAGACAAGTTCGGTGTGCCATAGCTATAGCAATGAATCAAATAGCTGCCGAAGGAACTGTGGCATGACCAACCCTTGGCATCGCAAGTTTTGGTCTCCAACCAAACACACCTTAGAATTTCTAATGCAAAACTTCCTCTCTTTTTTTTTTCCCTTTTTTCGCTTGGGCCTGTTGTGGTGGGTCTCGTATTCGGCCCCAGGCGAGGCTGGCTGCGTAGTGGTCTGGGCCAAAGCCCATGGCCTAGCCGCACGGTAGCCCTTTTCCTTTCTTTTCTGTTTTCTTTTCTTTTAAACCAGTTGAGAATTCTAAAAATCATATAAAATTATAGAAAAAAAATACCAAACTAGTTTTTTTACACTCGTTTTGACTAGGACTACACAATAAACATATAATATCATATGCTTTAGTATAAAAATTTTATTGTATCTATAGGTCTATGCTTTTATTTAATTAGGTGAGTGTGAAAATTGTCTCTGCTCATGCCACCGGCAACGCAATAGATTATTCTTCCGTTGCAACACACGGGCATGTTTGCTAGTAAAAAAAAAATCCACAAACCTACTTACTGAAGCCTCTGCTAATAAGGGACATGGGTGGACACAATAAGTCTAAAGAAGAGCCTCTGCTAATAAGGGACATGGGTGGACACAATAAGTCTTAAGAAGAGCTTGATGCGACATCTATCGCACTCTGGTTTTTATGGTTACATAGTTTGCCAAGTTATTATTAGCCATGCCAAACTATGAACTATAAGTATCTTGGGTTCCTTCCATTTAGAGTATAAGAGATGAATTTTGAATTGGCTGACAATTTATACTGCAGTTTACCAATGTACAAAAATGGACTTTATCCAAGTACAAATGATCGCAATGTCAAAGTTCTGAAAACCATATAGCAGGTCTACCTCGTCCAATTTCACCAGTAATTCAATTAGTAGCTACCTTTCTGATACTTGGAATTAGTTTATGCAGCTTAGTCACAAAGTTATACTAAAACATAACGTTTTATAGGATTATGGTGTACCCAGTGCAGAGAGCTCCCGCTCTGTGCGAGGTCTAGGAAAGGGCGTCAGTGGCAAGCTTTACCCTCGCCTGTGCAATGCGAGGAGACCGCGACTCGAATCTGGGACCTTCCAGTCATAGGCGGTAAGACTCTACCGCTTGTACCAGGCCCGCTAATTTTACAGGATTATGCACTAATTAAAAAAAACGACCCAGTTGAGTAGATGTCGGTGGTGCTTGATGTAAACTCCAGGAGCTAAAAATCGGTAACGAGTTAAACACTATTCATTAACTGCCTAGTTATGCTGTATAACTGGCAATACATTTATGGCTTAGTAGAACAATTCTACTACTATGATAAACTGTATCATATGAAGGCAAAAATGTATAGTTCTTGATCTTGAGCTGCCTTTTTGGAATCATACCACATATTTCTTCAATACAAACTATAAGCTGATTCTCATTCACTGATGTCCAATTAGTATTAATAGGCAACTAACTGGATACACAATCACAGATTCATAAAGTCAAGCACCTAATAAGGTGACATGACTGAAATCATATTTATATGCAAAACAGTTTTAGGTATTCAGTATATCTCAGCTTGCTTAGTTTATAACAAGTGATACTGAGAACTGGAGCAGTAGTCCAAACTGTAGCATCTAGCTCAGTAGAATGGAGTAGGACCACCGATGATGGAGAGGTTGGGCGTGTGCTCACTGTATTCAACTATTGATGTAGGAGGCAATTGTCCAATACAAATCTCATGTACTGTTGATAACAGAGGAAACAGCTCCTGCCATCCTCGATAAGTCAAGACTTCATAGACTTCCCTTGCTGTGGACACTCCCTGTAAAGTTAAAGAAATTAGATGCACTGAGCAGAGTATTTCTTTATGCATGGCATCATATATTTGCTTTACCTGGAGTTTTTGGCCATGCAACATCTCTGCCTCCAGTTCATCAAAAGACCTGTGTCAGCAGATGGCATGACTATACAATCGCAGGACATGAAAAAACTCTTCAATTTAATATAGGCCATGAACATCGCCATACTGTTTTGGGGGGATACTAAAGAACGGAAATGTGTAGTTTAAAGCAAAAACCTTTTGCCACCATTTCGTGCAAAGGCCTCAGCCACTCTTCTGTTCCTCCCGCCAACTGTCATGGAACACTCACTTTTCAGTATTTATCTGTTGGATGGTTAATTGGTAATGGTGAAGATACATACGACATGTGGTTATTAGGTCAGCGACACCACAGCTCTCGAAGAATGTGTTATCTCTTACTGAAGGGAACAACAGCTTAGAGAAAGCACGCATTTCTCGCAAACCAATCCTCATTATTGCAGCCTAACAAAAAGGGAATTAAAAGAGGCCATAAGATCACCCGATGCCATGGAAACCATGTCTTTTATTTGAAATGTGCTAAATTGCAACCTTTGTATTGTTTCCCATACCCAAGCCATCAACAAGGCCTGCAAGATAATTCCGCCACATAAGCCATTATCAATAAAATGTCTGAAGCAAAACAATGGGTGTAACAACACAAAACACTTGATCATTAAAAACCTGCTGCAATAGCCACGATATTTTTCAGAGTTCCACACAGCTCTACTCCTTCAATATCTTCTGCCTGCATATGAAGGACAAGATGCACTGATAAGAACTCCATTCAAAATTCGTTTTATACCTGATAAATTATCTTATGCTTCTGATATTATTTTTTTATATGTGGTGTCAAGCATAATGTCCATTGGTATGTGTCATGTACGGCCGGACCTATACCAGGAGGCGCCGGGCCCGTGACATCAGGCGCGCGGCTGAGCGCGCCCAGCGCGTCACGGACACGGCCTAGGGGTTGGCCGAGCCTTCTAGTGGCTAAGATAGGCAATAGTTGTTAGTATCCCTAAGATTGAGGAGGGATTAGTTACTATTTTTATTCCATCAAGGATTATATATTTCCCCTGTAACCGGCACCTTGGAGAATAAGAAAGATATAAACCAATCTGTCTTCTTCCTCCCAACTCTCAAGCCTAGGTCGCTGAGGGGTATAACCTCGCCCTAGAAGACGGATCGCGGCTACGACTTACGTAGCCGAGGTCCAGCTACTCAAGGGTTTGACGCCCTTGACAACCTGGTATCACGATCCCGACGATCCTCTTCTTTCCGCGCTCCAGCCGCCGACCCGCCCACTCCACCTCCGATCCAGCAGCCATCACCCGCGTCTTCCTGCGCTAGCAGCATGGGCGATGATCTAAGGTCCACCGTTGAGTCACTCGCGAAGGAAGTCCAGCGCCTGCAGACCACCGTCGAGGCCAACGCGACGGCGATCACGGCCCTCTCCACCGATCGCTCGTCATCCTCGGGCTCCAAGCAAGCCGAGGGCGTCCCTTCTGTCGATCGTCCTCCCAAATTCCAGAAGCTGGATTCCCCGAGGTACGATGGCAAGTATGATCCGCTGATCTTTCTCAATCGTTGTGAATCCTACTTCCACCAGCAACAGATCATGGAGGAGGAGAAGGTTTGGATGGCCTCTTACAACCTGGAGGACGGGGCCCAGATGTGGTACATCCAAGTCCAGACAGACGAGGGTACTCCATCATGGCGCCGATTCAAGGAGCTCATCAACCTGCGGTATGGCCCGCTCCTGCGGTCCGCGCCTCTCTTCGAGCTCGCTGATTGCCGCCGCACCAGCACCGTCGCCGACTATCAGGATCGGTTCCAGGCGCTGCTGCCACAGGCCGGGGCCCTCGACGAGGCGCAGCGTGTCCAACTCTTCACTGGCGGACTACTGCCCCCGCTTAGCCTCGACGTGCAGGTGCACAACCCCCAGTCCCTGGCGGCCGTGATGAGTTTGGCCCGCCAGCTAGAACTGCGGGAGCAGTTCATGGCGCCCTCGACCACCGTTAGCCGCGCGGGCGCCAGGCCGCTGCTTTCGGCCCCGGCCCCACGTCTAATGCTGCCGGCGTCGGCGACCACCTCTCCACCAGCCGCCATCGAGAGCCGACCACCGATCAAGCGGCTGACGTCGGCCGAGCAGGAAGAACGTCGTCGTCTCGGCCTCTGCTACAACTGCGACGAGAAGTTCTCCCGCGGCCATAACCGGGTCTGCAAGCGCCTCTTCTTCCTGGACGGCACCGTGGAGGACGACGACACGGCGGAGCCCACTGAGGAGGCAGGCTCTGAGGAGTCGCCCGCTTTCTCCCTGTAGGCCATCGCCGGTGTCCGCCTCAGCGACACCATGCAGGTCCACGTCCAGCTGGGCGCCACTCGCCTCGTCGCGCTTCTGGACTTCGGGTCCACGCACAACTTCATCTCGGACGACGCAGCGTAGCTCACCGGCCTCCCTCTCCAGCTCCGACCACGTCTCACCGCCACCGTCGCAAACGGGGAGCGTGTGTCGTGTGTGGGCGTCGCTCGCAACGCGGCGTTCTCCATCCACAACACGCCATTTCGCGCCGACCTCTACGTCATGCCTCTCGCCGGCTTCGACATGGTCCTAGGGACCCAGTGGCTGGCAACGCTGGGACCCATTGTTTGGGATTTCAGCACCCACACTGTCTCCTTCCAGCTCGAGGGCCGCGATCTGTGCTGGAGTGGTTTGCCAGGGGCGACCACGACCAGTGCCCACGTCACCCAGACCACGACGTCTCTGCTGGACGAGCTGCTCGAGAGCTTCTCCGACCTCTTCACCGAGCCGAGTGGTCTACCTCCTCCTTGGAGCAGCGACCACCACATCATCCTTCAGCCCGGGTCCCAGCCGGTGGCCGTGCGCCCATACCGCTACCCGAACACGCACAAGGATGAACTAGAGCGGCAGTGCGCCGCCATGCTTCAGCAAGGGCTCATTCGGCGGAGCTCGTCGGCGTTCTCATCCCCGGTCCTCCTCGTCAAGAAGGCGGATGGCTCCTGGCGCTTCTGCGTCGACTACCGCGCCCTGAACACCATCACAGTCAAGGATGCCTTCCCGATCCTGGTGGTCGATGAGCTGCTCGACGAGCTACATGACGCAAAATTCTTCACCAAACTCGACCTCCGTTCCGGCTATCACCAAGTCCGGATGGCGCCCGAGGATATCGCCAAGACCGCTTTCCGCACACACGAGGGGCTGTACGAGTTCCTGGTGATGTCGTTTGGCCTCTACAGCGCCCCGGCCACATTCCAGGCGCTGATAAACGACGTCCTTCGCGCCTTCCTCCGCCGGTTCGTCCTCGTATTTTTTGATGACATTCTGATCTACAGTGCGTCCTGGGTGGATCACCTTCGCCACCTCCACATCGTTCTCTCCGTCGTGCGCCACCACCGCCTTGTCGTCAAGCGATCCAAGTGCACGTTCGGCGTCACCTCCATCTCCTACCTCGGCCACATCATCTCCGACGCCGGCGTAGCCATGGATCTTGCAAAGGTGCAGGCGGTCCTCGACTGGCCCCAGCCCCGCTCGGCGCGTGCATTGCGCGGGTTCCTGGGCCTCGCGGGCTACTACCGCAAATTCGTCCACAACTATGGCGCGATCGCGGGGCCTCTCACCGCGCTCTTGAATAAGGAGGGCTTCGTTTGGTCCGAGGAGGCCGCCACGGCGCTCTCGGCCCTCAAGGCCGCGGTGACATCCGCGCCAGTATTGGCGCTGCTCAACTTCGCCCAGCTGTTTGTCGTCGAGTGCGACGCGTCGACACATGGTTTCGGGGCTGTGCTCATCCAGAACAAGCATCCCATCGCCTACTTCAGCAAGCCGGTTGCTCCTCGCCACCGCTCCCTCGCCGCCTACGAACGGGAGCTCATTGGCCTCGTCCACGCCATCCGCCATTGGCGCCCGTACCTCTGGGGCCGCCGCTTCACGGTGCGGACCGATCATTACAGTCTGAAGTATTTGTTGGACCAGCGGCTTGCCACGATCCCGCAGCATCACTGGGTCGGGAAGCTCCTGGGGTTCGACTTCGCCGTGGAGTACAAGCCGGGCGCCCAGAACACGGTCGCCAATGCGCTGTCTCGCCGCGACACCGAGGACAGCACGGGGCGGTCTTGGCGTTGTCTACGCCACGTTTCAACTTCATCGACTGCCTTCGTCAAGCACAGGCTGTGGATCCGGCTCTCGTTGCCCTTCGGGACGAGATCGTCGCAGGCACCCGCGTGGCGCCTTGGGCCGTCCAGGACGGCTTGGTCACCTACGATGGTCGCCTCTACATCGCCCTGTCTTCGCCACTCCTTTTGGAGATCATCGCCGCAATCCATGAGGACGGCCACGAGGGTGTCCAGCGCACGCTGCATCGTCTCCGCCGTGACTTCCACTTCCCCAACATGCGCCAACACGTGCAGGACTTTGTTCGTGCCTGTGCCACTTGCCAGCGGTACAAGTCAGAGCACCTCCACCGGACGGGACTCCTTCTGCCGATGCCCGTACCGATGACAGTGTGGACGGACATCGGGCTCGACTTCGTGGAAGCTTTGCCCAAAGTTCGGGGCAAATCCGTCATCCTCACTGTGGTGGATCGCTTCAGCAAGTATTGTCACTTTATTCCACTGGCTCACCCATACTCTGCAGAGTCCGTCGCTCAGGCTTTCTTCGCCGACATCGTCCGCCTCCATGGGATGCCGCAGTCCCTAGTGTCCGATCGGGATCCCATCTTCACCTCGACGTTTTGGCGCGAGTTGATGCGGCTCATGGGGGCCAAGCTGCACATGACGACAGCCTTCCATCCACAGTCGGATGGCCAAACTGAGGCGGCCAATCGCGTCATCACCATGTACCTTTGCTGTTTCACAGGTGATCGCCCTCGTCAATGGCTTAGGTGGCTCCCTTGGGCGGAGTTCGTCTACAACACGGCGTACCAGACCTCCCTCCGTGACACGCCCTTCCGCATTGTCTACGGCCGTGATCCCCCGACCATCCGCTCTTATGAGCCTTGGGAAACGCGGGTTGCTGCTGTGGCCAAGACTATGGCTGAGCGCGAGGAGTTCCTCTAGGACGTTCGTTTCCGACTGGAACAGGCACAGGCGGTCCAGAAGCGGCACTACGACAAGCAGCACCAAGTGGTGGCTTACGCCGTGGGCGATTGGGTGCTGCTGCGCCTCCGTCATCGCCCCATCGCGTCCCTTTCCGACGCCGCAACAAGGAAGCTGAAGCCTCGCTTCTTCGGGCCCTATCAGGTCACCGAGATCATCAACGCCGTCGCCGTTCGTGTTGCACTTCCGCCTCGGGCTAGGCTCCATGACGTCTTCCACGTCGGGCTCCTAAAAAAATGGGCGGGTCTCACTCCGACAGCTCCTCCGCCGCTTCCGGCCATCCACAATGGCGCTACGGTTTCGGAACCGGACAGCGTTGTCCGCACTCGCCTGGCAAGCGGCGTGCGCCAGGTCCTCGTCCGTTGGAAGGGCGAGCCGTCTTCTTCCGCTACTTGGGAGGACTGGGACTCCTTCGGCGCGCGCTTTCCAGCATTCCAGCTCGGGGACGAGCTGGTACAGGAGGAGGGGAGAGATGTCATGTACGGCCGGACCTATACCAGGAGGCGCCGGGCCCGTGACATCAGGCGCGTGGCTGAGCGCGCCCAGCGCGTCACGGACGCGGCCCAGGGGTTGGCCGAGCCTTCTAGTGGCTAAGATAGGCAATAGTTGTTAGTATCCCTAAGATTGAGGAGGGATTAGTTACTATTTTTATTCCATCAAGGATTATATATTTCCCCTGTAACCGGCACCTTGGAGAATAAGAAAGATATAAACCAATCTGTCTTCTTCCTCCCAACTCTCAAGCCTAGGTCGCTGAGGGGTATAACCTCGCCCTAGAAGAGACGGATTGCGGCTACGAATTACGTAGCCGAGGTCCAGCTACTCAAGGGTTTGACGCCCTTGACAGTATGTCTGTGCCTGTACATAACTGTTTTATGAAAGGAATCAAGCAATTGCTAAGATGATGACTTTCGTATTCCCAAACATCGCTATATATAAAAAGGACCATAATGCATAGGTTTTCTCCAACTTCATTTATTTATGAGAATAGAGTAGAAGAACTTACGACAGAAACTAGGAAGTAGGGTGTGGTAAAAAGTTTAGCCCACCGGTTTGCCACTTCCTTATCTTTCCTATACCCAATTGTTGCTTCACTGAACTCTTCGACGGCAATCTGCACTTGAAATATATATACAACCATCCATTATTTTTTGCTTATGAACGAAGGCTACATGAAACTTTGCACAGCAAGTTGAACAGATGCTTGCCTCGTTTGCAATGTTAGCACCCATTAGGACACAACAATTGATCCCAAGTGTATCCGCGATTAACTTGGATATCATGCACGGTCCTTCCATCTTGACCTCCATGCCCTTGATGAGGGAGATAGCCTCAGCTCCTGGTCTTAGCTTCCCTACAAGCTTCTTACATATACCCTCCACAAATTGATGGGGAGTCACAAAAACCAGCATATTCGCATCTTTGACTGCGAAGGAAAAGAAAAGTTTTGTTCAATAAAATTTATGTGACAATATGCAAGCAGCTTTATGCTGTAAGTTTATTTTGATGATAATGACAAGACGTTTACGCATGCATGCTCGTTGCCCTTTATGAAACTGTACATACTCGACTGTCTACGACTAGCATGGCATCTACCCTCCAAATCATGAGAATAGCTGGGTGACGCTGTGATTAATTACCTGCACTCTCCAAGTCAGGGTCGGCAATAACGTTCTTTCCAAGCTTTATACCTGGCAAGTATTTGCAGTTCTCCTGTAACCAATAAGAATAATGTCTTTTATTTAGAGTCATTATTACTAATGTCATGTCATAGATAAGCCATTTAATTTGTTGATCAAGAAGCAAGATAAGCTAACGGGCTTGAACTACTCTTACATTTTGTTCGTTAATGGACTCGGATAGCTTCTTGCCTGTTGGCAGTATTTCCTCAAAGACCCACATCCTTACTTCATCTTCAGGGAAAAAAGAAATTTCGTCCCCAGAGAAGTTAGTACATATACCAACAGCTACAAGAAATTAAAAGAGCTGTGTGTACGTAGGTAATACAGGGAGGTACAGGTACCTAGCTAACATCGAACTCTGCACGATGAGAAATATATATATATATATATATATATATATATATATATATATATATATATATACACACACACACACACACACACACACACACCCCTTGCATTGAATCATTGATCGGCCATAACATTTACAATAGTAGTAGTTATGCAGTTGGTAGGCAAAGATGGAAATAGTGGCATGGGACAAAGGGAAGGCCGGTGCATGTCTATGGAGACCCGACAAAAGATAAGACATGATGTAAGCAAATCAATCTAGTACTAGTGATACGCTACATAGGAGTATGTATATCTATGCATTTAGCGAAAAGAAACTAGATTAGATGTCAGAATGATAAGCGCGCGATGGAAATGGCATGCAGGACCCAGTCAGCCAATAGCGTATTACAGTTATAGTAGGAGAAGGAGAAGCACGGAGAGCGTGTGCACGGCAGCAATTCAACCAATTCTATTGAAGGAGCTGAGACAGCAGGATGTATGCACAGTACCATAGAAGGAGGGCAGCTTGGCGGTGTTGGAGGCGATGAGGCGGGAGGCGACGCTTCCCCAGTTGCCGCTGCCAATGACGGCCACCCGGTACTTGTCGTGCCCGTTCTCCATCTCCAGCGGGCGGCGGCGGGGCGGTCCGAATTAGATAATGCAGATCAAGAAACCAACCACACCGCCGGCCGGCCTGTACAGCGGCGATTGCAATAATCGGGCAAACCAAGAACAAGGACGGACGGCCCGACCCAGTAGCAGGAGGAGGAGGAGCGGCAGCGTGGATATATACCAGAGATTGGAGGCGGCGGGCGTGTGGAGAGGAGAAGAAAAGTAAAATTGAATTGGAGGGCAGGCAGTGACGACTGACGAACAATATTAGAAGAATATCCCGCCCGTGGTTCTGGTTCGCTTAGATAGGTCGGAGGGGCGGCATCCCCAAGAATCGCATGTGGTTGTTTCCTCTGTCCCTCCACCCCGCTGCTTTGTTTTTGTTTGTTGGCAAAACGAGGCGGCAGTCGCTGCCATTTCCTCCTTGGGATCGAAGAAGACGAAGAAGAAGAGACCAGCAGAGGAGGGAGGAGCCTGTGCCTCCCGTCTCGGGGGTATCGACCAAGACCAACTAGGCCGCGCCGCCCGCTCGCCACTTGGCCCAGCAAAACCAAAGGGAAGGGACCCATCATCGATAGGAGGCCCAAACCACATCGATCACCTCCATCTTTTCCTTGATTCATTCACTGCCACAGCAAATAAAGCCAACCTTCATACTATCCTCCAATTTGCACAACATAGGAGCAGAGTAGTATGCAGGTGCCGTGCCGATGCATTCTGTTTGTGTTGACCATGTGATTGCACGCCAGGCTCGGTTACCTTTCTCTCCTCCGGAGGACTCCTCTTCTTCCTCCTCTCCCCCACGGTTTATGCAATGCAAGTGCCGCCTGCTGAATTCCGTCCACACCATGGTCTTCTCTCTCTCTCTATATATATATATATATATATATATACACACACACATAAATAAATAAATAAAATAAGTGCGCCGCCCATCAAGTAACAACTTTTACTACTGGAGGTGGAGGGTGCTAACCTACTCCAGGTGACAAAAGTGAACCGGCTGTAGAAGCAATGGTGACACGGACGGCGTGCAAGGTGGAACCGTTGGCCCCGTTCGCTGGTCTGAAACTTGGCTGAAACTGGCTGGTTTTGTGAGAGAAAATACTGTTTGACTGGTTTGATGAACAGTAAAATGAGAGAGAAACCAGCCGGCTGGTCTGATTTTTTCAGACCAGCGAACGCGCCCAACATAGGAAATGATAAATTTTGGTACCAGTACAGCTTGTTACTATGATGTCCTACTGACAACCTTATTTAACAGAAGATGGTAATCTGTTGGCAAGACCATACATAGGATAGATAGGGCTTGCAACCGCGGATGCAAACATAGAGGTTTGTCATCTCTTCAAACATGTCAACCACCACTTGCGGTAGGTTCCATGAACAACCCATGTCGAGCACATAACATCCTGATGCAGTGATATACTCCATCCGTTCTAAATTATAAGTCACTTTGATGTTTTTGGTACATCCATTTTGTTATGTAACGTATGTCTAGATACATGGAAAAATAGATGTATAAAAAAAGTCATCGTGACTTATAATTTTGAACGGAGGGAATACGATACAGGTCGCTTCCAACTTCCAAGCAACAAACTCAGTTACTCAGGCCATCCAGCCACTGTTGACATTTGGGGGTCATCAGTATATCCAGTGTTTGGCATGAAGCAGAAACCTGCACTACAGCTTCCAGTTTCGTAGGTGGAAAGGAATGCAGATATTCATCAATCGTCCTTGCCTTTTTCAAGGACAAGGATCTGTTTGTTGCCAACAAGCAGCTGCCAAACGGCTTATGACTGTATTAGGAGGGGAGGATTAGATTGAAACAGTTGCAGCGTCAACATCCATCTTCTACTTTTGCTAGAGTTGCAAAACCAAATGCTAAAGTGCAACGTTCCTTTTCTGGGACACGTCAGATCTTCACGACACTCCAAATGAATGATCCTGTACATTCCTACTAATATTTTCATCACTCATCAGACATGTACAGTTGACCAGTGAGCAGGTCAGACACCACATCCTTCAGCAATCCCATGTACCAGTATCATCAATCCTCCTCCCTGTGGTAGTAATAGTAAGTAATAAGGGGGTGTTTGGATCTAGTGGCTAAAGTTTAGGAGATGTCACATGGGGCGTCGCGTGGGGTGTTCGGATACTAATAAAAAACAAATTACAGAATCCGGTAAGAATCCATGAGATTTAATTTATTAAGCATAATTAACCTGCCATTAGCATATGTTTACTGTAGCACAACATTGTCAAATCATAGACTAATTAGGCTTAAAAAATTCGTCTCCCAAAACAGTCTCAATCTATGTATTTAGTTTCGTAATTAGTCTATATTTAATACTCCATGCATATGTCAAACATCCGATGAGACAACGACTAAAGTTTAACATGGCCACCCATCAGGCAAGGTCCATTCATCTGCCGGACCAGACCAGACCAAACCATACAGCTCAATATACCAACCTCTCATTAGGCGCCATGGCCACCATTGCCAATCAATCAACCGACTTGTCACAAAACCTTCACAAAGGCGCTACCTATATCACTGCAAATATGCAAACCAAACTTCAGCACTGCATAGCAACTACTTGAAGACATTAAAAAACAAGCCACACTACTCTATGACAACACTTGGTGCAAAGTGCAAGAGAACATACGGTTCCAAATGCACGATTGCTTAGATATATATACAATGAATGTTCTATGCCAAGGACATGCTGCTGTTACATGGACGCAGCTAAGAAATTGGATGCCTTCTGGATGTCGTAATAGTATACTACATATCAGTTGAGAAAGTTACCTCATGCTGTAATCTATGGATCCTCTGTGCTTGTTCTCTGATGCAAACAAGGTTGTTCTTGATCTCACTGCATATCCTTCCTTCCAGTAGTCTCACTGGAACCCAGAGCTTGGGCTCCAGCTCAAGCAGGTAAGACAGTGTCGTCTGGAATTCCTGCTCCTCTGAATTTCCCCCACCTTCGACAATGCTACCATCAACCTATGCAAAACACAGGGGCATCATCAACAGCCATGTAGACAGTAGACTCTTTATCAAAATAACAATGGTATTGACGTTTGCAACCAAAATTATGCCACAATTTAACAGCTGGATATGCTAGAGCCAGATTGGGTTCTCGAGAAAACTCTTGACGTAGTGAGATAAACTATGGACAAGTGAAAAATCTAGACTGGCCCATATAATATAAGAGGACTATGACTAGGTTTGTTTATGGATCTCATAGGGACCAGGAGCAGACCTAGTACTGCCACACGATCATAAAAATTCATAACATCAGTACAGCACTCACTGAACCAGCAACGTTATGCCCTCATAGCCCCACATCAAAAGATGGTTCCCTTGCCAATTCAAAGCAAAAGGGATGAGTTACCAATGATTTCGACATCCTTATTACCTAGCTCAACCAGCGCAATGTGGTGAAACCTAAAACACCCGATCAGTGAGTGAGTCTGGATCCAGTCTGAGATCACTGGACCCGACAATGTTGGTGGTGATTGATTTAGTGCTAGACTAGACTGTACCAGCGCAGCAATGATCAGAGCATCATTAGTGTTATAGGTAACTGGATTCAGTAGCACAGCTGGGGATCAGCTAGGACCACAGTAGGGTATATTACATACATATTGGCGAGCAATGAGGAAGGAAGGATCAATGAAGGAAAGGAAAGGAAAGGAAAGGACAGGTAGGTACCTCTTCAACAGACCATTTCCCCTGGAAGAGCTTGAAATCGCCGTCGATCATGTTGAAGGCGATCTCCCTCCTGCGCGCCCCGGCAGCGGGCAGTAGCTCCATGTCCCCCTCGTAGCAGTCTATGGTGCCCTTGGCGTTGAACTTGAAACCCAGCGCGAGATCCTGCTCCCCGATCTGGTCTTCCACACGGTGCACACGAGAAGTTCCCCATTCATTCATGAACAAGCTGGATGCATTTACAGGCTGAGCTGTATAGTAGGAGGAGGAATCGAATTTGGGGTGCGGACCTGACCTGGTAGAGGCGCGCGAAGCCATCGTGCTGGTCGAGGAGGCGGCACTCGGAGAGTCCCGGGATGAAGTCGGCGAGGCCCTCGTAGTCGGTGAGCGTGGCCCAGACGGCCTCGAGCGGTGCGTGGACGCGCACCCGCGCGCGCACAAGGCGCCGGTTCCGCTTCCCGACCTTGGACACCTGGATCTGGAAGCCGATGCCCTCGTCGCGGTCCTCCTGGTCGTCGTCAGGCGCGGGCCAGTCGTCCTGGCCGCCGGTCGCGTCTCCGGCGGCGACGTCAAGCGGCGGGTCGGGCGAGGCGGGGATGCGGGAAGAGAGCCTCGGGGATGGGGCGGAGGGGAAGACGAGGCGGAGGCGGGCGGTGCGGGGGCGAGGGAGCGGGCGTGAGAGGCCGTGGCCGTGGGAGGAGACGCAGCAGCAGGAGGCGGCGGTTGCCATGTCCGTCGTCCGGGTCCGCCTGCCGCCTCCCCTCACACTGTATCTTTTGATTAGTTATTATTTCTGTGTATAATTACTGTATTATAAGCTTATCATTAGTTTAGCATATACGTGTATGCCTTGCAAATAAAATAAACTAGGCCGGCCTGGCAATACGCCAATGGCGTTCGGCTGGTGCAAAATTCCTCCGTAATTCACTGTTTATGGCTGAAATTTCACTGTTTATGGCTGAAATTTACTGTTCATGTTCTCACAAATTCTTCCTAATCCATCCAGATTTCTCCAAATTTCTCCCAGCGAACATGGCCGTAGCAGGATAGGATAAGATTTGCTCCCGTGTCCCCCTAGCTTGTTTATACCTCTGCTAGTCTAGTAACACTCTCGCTTAGGTAAGGCACATTTTTAAAGGAAAAGCCCCCCTTCCGTGGTTGTTATTAACTTGAAAACATTATCTAATTTAGAGCATGATTAAAAAAAAGAATGCTCGAACAGTCCTAAAAATAATATAATTCTAGATTTTAAATAAGTTAACATTTTTTAAGTTTGATCGAGTTTGTAAAGAAAAAACATTTATGTCTCCAATTAAGTTTAGTACGAAAATAATCAATGTAAATATACTTGATATCATAGACGTTACTAGTTCCTTTTTGTATAGATTCAGTCAGATGTAATATTTTTTTGCCTCCTCGTGAAGTGAATTGCATTCTCTTTTTTTTTTGAAGGGGGAGTACTTCCTCCGCGTAAGTTGACTGATGTAGCATATGCCTCTCTCGTTATACTCTCCATAACTTGAAAGGTTATCTATTTTTACATAGAGTCATGTTGCTAATTCCCAATACTACGCGTTGTACTCCACGTAAGAAATAATTTTGTTAATTCACAATCATAACATCGAATCGAGGTAATAATCAGAACCTATTTCCAACTTCTTCATAAAAGCATGTGGCCTAATAAACAAAAAAAAAAGAAGAGTAAAAACATGATATTCTAAATTGTCAATTCTTAAGATCGCTACCCATATATTCAAGTGAAAAAACACATGCAAACCCAAAACTCAAGACATATCATTGTCAAATATTTTATACCATATGTTTCGCTGCTTTACTGGAACCTGAGCGTGCAAAAGTAATGTTGCTAGGACGCACACCCGTGTTCCTTTTGTGTCGACGGTGTGGTGAGCCTTTTCAAATCCATATTTATCTCATGAGAGCTAGCAATAAGTATTGCCCGTATCTTAAATTCGTACGCAAGTGGAACTACGTATATACGAGCAATGTTATGGAGAGGGCGTGAAATTCCGCTTGCGTTTTGATTTTTGAAATGCAGTGATTTTGTGGTTACCGTGATTGGACGTTTTTTTTTCTCTGGGGTGCGGTGGTCGGCGCTGGCGGATGCAGGATGCGAAAAAGGAGGAGCTAAATAATAAAGATTTAGAGCTAGGGGTAGAAATTAATAATGATTTGAGATTAAGTAACCATGATCTAATAAAAAAATCAGGCTCACTAGGGCTCTGGCCCCTCAGCCCCCTTTGATCCGCCCCTGGTGGTCGGCATGCACGGATTGCATTGGGATTTGGTGGTCGTCATCTGTATCCGTGGCCTCTTTCTCCTCCTCAAGTGTCAAGTCTGGAGTGCCACTCAAACACGTGTGTGGTTTTCTGCCTCCGTTTTTTCGAAGAAGAAAAAAGAAAAAATAAGGAAAAATAAAAAGGGAGACTTGATGAGAGGATTGGTCAGTGTGTGTCGTGGTCTCCATGCAATGCAATCCAATCCAATCCCGAGCTTTCAGACAGCAAGCAGCAGTGTGAATGGTACGCTAGCTATGATTTGTGCGATGGATGTTATTATCGTATCAAAAGCCGCCAGCCCAGTTGTAATTGTGGCAAGGCAAGTTTTGCTTTGGTGACCAACCATACATGATGCAACGCACCAACGCATACAGTCCGTGCTCTGCCTGCCTACGTGTCTGTCCCCTTCTCTCTCTCTGTGTCTCCTCTGCTTTCGCCTCAGCACTCCAAAGCTCCTTCCTCTTGCTGATGTGGGTTTCATTCTCGTTCAGCTGAGGGAGACATGGAAGGATGAGCAGTGGAAAGTGTTGTGGTGAATTCTCTCTCCATTTCGGTCGGTCGGTCCGCTCATTACACACAGAGAGAGAGATTTCTTTCTGTGTGTAAGAAGAGTACTCCTACTCATCAAGTCGTAAGGACTGTACTGAAATACTGAATGGAACAGGGACAAATCTTCGTTTTTCCAGGCTTATTACTTACTCAGTCAGGGATCCAATTGGGAATCCCATCTCATCTCTAATACAGAGCAGAGTACATTACAGAATTAGATACAACATGATCATCAGTAATCGCTTGTTATTGTTGTTGCTTGGATTCTCTCCTCCGAGTCGTGGCTGCAAATGAGAAATACTAAGGATAGGGAGTGGATACAGGCCGCCTGCGGTGCCGAAGAAGCGAGTGTTATTTGTCGGCGTGGTGGTACGCCGCCTGCGGGTGCGGGTACCCTCTTCCGTTGTGGTGGTGGTAGTGGTGGTACGCCTGTCCGCCGCTGGCCATGGGCACCATGCCGACAGCGGCGACGCCATGCATAGCGTACATGCTGGTTGGGACGGGCACCTGCTGCGGCTGCGGCTCGTGCACCAGGCTGTGCGGCACCGGCGTGGAGGCGAAGATGTGGTCGGACGGGGACTGCCCTTCGTTGGAGAGGCCCTGCATCCGCTTCACGTACAGCCGGTACTTCTGCAGGTGGCTGGCCACGTTCTCGCGCGTCAGCCCTTCCACGTTCATCAGCTGCATGATGGTCTTGGGCACCGCGTTCTTGATCCCCAGGTGCGCCACCACGTCCACGAACCGCTTGTGCAGCTGCGGCGTCCAAACCAGCCGGGGACGCTTGCTGCTGTTGGCGTTGTTGGTCGCCGCGCCGCCGATGGCTGCTGACGAGTCCGCCCCCTCGTCCCCCCTTGCGTGTCCCGCTGCCCCCGCCTGGGGATGGAAGGGCGCGAAGGAGGAGCCGCTCCCTCCGCTGCCCGACGACGACGACGACGGCGCGCGCCGCAGCCGCGACACCGTGGCCGCCGACGCGCGGTGCACGTCCAGCAGCGTCCGCCCGGGCTCCGGCGGGATGCGGAACACCGCCGCCAGACCCGGGGGCACCAGCGGCTGCGACAGAGGGGTCAGCTCGTCGGCGCCCGGGAGCCCCGACTCCCACTCCATCACGCGCCCGTCGTCGTCGCCGCCGTAGCACACCATGTGGAGCTCGTAGTCGTCCACCGCCTCCTCGCCCATCCGAATCGATGGATGGATCCCCACCAACCCTACACACCTGCTTAATCCAATTCGAATCCCCAAATCGATTCAGCAGCACAGGCACAGCATCAACCCCAGATCAATCAATCAATTCCCATACGGAATCGAGCAATCCAGCCACGGCTCCGTCGATTCAACCGCCGGCGAGATAGGGACAGGGACGGAGATATTTGTGTGGGCGTGGGGAGGAAGAGAAGAGGAGCTGCTGCCTGCCTGGCTGGGGCTGGGGCTGGCTGAGGTGTGAGGACGCGGCCCATAGTTTAATGGGCGAAATGGGAATAAAGGCAAAAGCGGAGGGGAAAAGCGCACATCAGGATAGGATTTTAGATCCCCTCCCCCTCCACGTGGACCGCGATCTTTTCTGATTCGCCTCTCCACCCTCGCCCGCCGTCCGATCCTGCGCTTTCCCTCGGGGTTTCCCACCTCTTTCCGGGACGGACTCGCAGGCGGCCCCCGAGATATTTCCTCGAGATTCGGGTACCGCAAATCCGGCGGCATTTTCGTTCGTGCAACTCATCCTGCTGCATCTCTTAGCTGTGGGCTTGTTTCATCCTTGGTCAAACCAGCGTCAGCTGTTTTTTCTTGCCCTATATCCCCTCTCTTTTCTTTCTTTCTTTCCGGCCTACTAGAATCAGATTCTGACCAGTACAGTAATAGCTTGGGATGAGATATTTTTCATCGTCCAATAAATCTTGTTATTAATTAACAAAATCAAACAAAAAATATCCTTTATTCAAAACAAGAACATCAACCAGACAGAGCGCTTCCCCCCCCCCTTTCCATATCACTGTTACGCAAAGTATCTTCGAATGAGTTTTTTCTTATCCATGTCTTCATTTTTATTTAATATATGCCAATGATGCAACATTTACTCTGAAAAAGACGCGCCAGCCATTGAAAAGCCACTACAAAAACGCAAAAAAAAAAAATCAATGGTCCCCTCTGAAATTTTCCTTTTTTATCTCTTGAATCATGCGTTTTCAAATGCACCACAAACACACGTGTACAACCGAGTAGTCATAAGCATAAGCTCAAATATATGAATTAAATGCAAAGTAAATATGAATGTAAGGCAAACCAACAAAGGAGATGTACTGATGTATTTTTCGAAGTTCAGATCCCCACTTGGATCCTAAGTCTCTATTGTGGAAGCCGTGAGCGATCACCCGCTGTCAAGCTCTAGGTACGTTTCTTTCAACCACTTTTCACGCTCTACTAGTTGATCTTTTCCCTTGCGGGGACAAGATCGCAGGCCGCACTGACCGTCTCATGGCAAAGCGACGTCTAGTCGTCTAAAGCAATGTTCCTAAAGTAACAAATGCTTCACCATGGACTTGACGCTATCACGAAATGCTCAAGGCTTGGCTCAGCTTAACTCGAGAAGGCTCTAAACTTGCTCTTTGATTCAATAGATATCACAATTATCACTCAAATCATACAAAGTGTGAATTAGGAGCTCTCGCAAGGCCTTTTTGAAGTTTGATAACTCTATAATGCATCATCAGCCCTCCAATGGCTATGAGATGGCGTATAAGTAGGCCTACCATAAAAACTAGCTGTTATAGCACTTTTGAGACAAAACTAGCCTCGACCGGTTTGGCAAACCGTCTTAAGCCGGTTTTCCCTAAAAACTAGTCTTATACCGCTAGTTTGCCAAAGCCGGCACATGTCGAGTTTTGTAGGACACTCTCAAATAAACCCATTTTTTTATGTTAGCAGTTGGGTATTTTAAGCACTTCATCTAGCACTTAGTATTACATCCCTCTTTCGATAGGATGGCATACCTAGCTATACTCAAGAATTAAAAATTCACAATTTATATCACTTATGTTTGTTGTTCTGCTTCAAATATTGGCATCTTCTTAATTTTCATAATTAGAGGGCTTTCGTCACTTTCATTGGCTTGAGCTGAACGACCTTGAGCTATGGCTTTGAATTTCTCGGATCATTTGATCATTACTACACATGTCACCCAAAAGTCACCTTTCTGAATAATTTCATAGTGTTTTGAGCCTCCATATCAACATGACATTGATAGCTTGATTACTACCTCAACTCAATGCAAGTACCCTCTTCTTCACCTTAGCCATAGTCCCTTGGCCACAAAGTCATCGCTTACCCTTCACCTTTGCTTAATCCCTTAAAACTCTTTCCTTGCTATTTTTACTCTATCAAGCTATAAAGCCACGTCTCGTTTTGAATCAACTTTGAGTAACAGTGAAACAATTTATTTGCATTGTTATGTTTTTATTAAGTTCAACTAGTAAGCTTCATGTATTGAGACCATCCCATATGCAATCAATTATGTTTCATCTTCACTTGACAATACATGCTTGCCAGTTCATCAATTAGAAAACCCAATATCAATACTTGGATTCACTTCTCATTTATATCATTTGCTCCCTTGATCGTATTAATTATAACTGGGACTAAATGCCTATAACTATCAAGAAATTCACTAGTCCCTTGATCGTGTTGTCATTCAATCCACCAAAACCCACTTAGGGTCTAGCTAGATGCACTTTTAAGCACACACTTGCACCTGCATCTCCTATCACCTATCATCATGTACCTTCGCCACATTCTTCTCATTGAGCGCCCTTTGAGATACCCTGTTGAGAGTCAAATGTCCCCTACTCTCTTCCACCACAACCCGAAGTTCCCAATGCCATCAAAACCTTTGTTGCCGCAGACCACAAAAAAACCATGTGCATTCTGCATGTCTACATGCACGCCATACGCACACCAAGTGCATCGCTCATGTGCTTCTTCCTTACCGCAACACACATCTCCTACGTGTACCCCGCGGAAAAAATAATTGATTTTTTCTAGAGCTGTCGTTGCCTTGTTTTTTGCAAATAATAATACAAATACATATCTTATTGTCAAAGTCGCCATATGCGTCTCACTATTGACGAGCATATTGCCTACCAGGCTAGAAAGAGTAGTGCCAATAAATTCTAAAATAAATCTAAGAAAATACGAGCACCTATGTCAAGCCGATAACTAGCTTGAATTCAGATGGATAGTTTCACTATAGACAACCTAACGAAGTAACCAATTGTGCTTACGTAACAACTTTTGTAGTTGCTTACACATCTTATACATTGCGTTGTTTCCATTTAATTTCCATTCGCACACCACTGAAAGGTTTTGTTTACTAACTCTATTTATTCTAAATTGTAAGTCGTTTAGGCTTTTCTAGGCATATAGATTTAGTTGCGCAACTACATTATATATTATCAGCCTGTTCGCTTTATCGTAAACGATCGTAAATTTCTAGCCGGGAACAGTGTTTTTCTCTCACACCAAATCAACCAGCAGTAAATAATCCACGATACGATACGGCCTCCCGAACAGGCTGTATATGTATTCAGAAAAGCTTGAATGACTTACTGGAATGAGGCCAGGAACTCTTGCGCTTGCGCCCCTGCGGGCTCGTTGCCAGGCGTTAGACAGATCGGCTTCTGGTCACCTGCAAACTGCCCAGCATTGACAGGAAATTAGCTAAGAATAGCGTAGTAACGGGAGAGAGGAGGAGAAGAAATGACGGGATAGGGTGTCTCTCCGTGGGGCGATAGGGCGACACCGCCGTATGGCACAACTTATTCGACGATCTCCCCGGCGAGCAAGTCAGCGGGCAAGCCAGGAGGCGGCGGCTACTCCTCCCCTTCGAGGGTGTCCTCTCATGGCTCTCGGAACTCACCAGAGGGGCGAGCCGAGGCGGCATCAGGCTCTGCCTCGACCGGGCAAGAGGTGGCATCAGGCTTTACTCCGACGAACGCTGAGTTAGCGGAGCTTCTCCACCGATGGGATGCATGGCGTAAGGCCAATCTAGGTACGTACTCATCAACCGCGATTCCTAAGGGTGGGGAGGGATCAGGAGGGAAGTTGAGTGGTGTTCATGGAGACTCGAGTTTGTTTGAAAATGCAGAAATGGCTCTGCAATCTGATGATTGGCCTTCCATTGAAGAGGGTATTCATGCGGGCAAGGGTGCCTAGAGGCGTTTGACTTTGATTCCTCAAAAAATTAGTGAATGGTGCGTTGATGCATTTGGATATCATCCAATGACGCATGGAGGTCAGGAGAAGTTGTGATTGCAGATCGAAAATGAAATCAAATGTCAGATGTTCTCTTATCAGAAATGGGTTTCTGAGATAAGAGATTTGGCTGATGCTTCTGACCATTTGGAGGAATCAATGGAGATCATGCTAAAGCTTGGATCCGACATGGTTGAACCTGACAAGTAGTTAGTTGCTTGGAACGAAAGCGAGGAAGATGACAACCCAATCCAGAATTCGGTTGATTCCCGCTTTAACCATTCCTAGATCCCGAATGGACCTAGGCTGGGCTGGTTCTGGATACCAAAAGGGCATCTCTGTTTGGATATTACCTACCCAGCCAACAAGGAGGAGGTACGCCGATTTGGACACTTAGCCCGCAAGATTCGAGCCACCCAACCACCCCGCAGGCTTACCAAAACCTTTGCGGCGGCTGTGAAACCTAGGGTGATGGCTCATCCTAATCGTCTCATGGGGAAGCACCACCAGGATGAGTGGATGGAGGAGGATGATCTGCTAGGTGGTGAGTGGGGGCAGAAATAGGATCTGCGAGTGCAAATCCAAAAGGGGGGAGAAGCCAAGTTGAGCCAAATCAAGCAGGATTCAAAGGAAGAAGACTGGATCAAGGGGATCGAGAGTTGGAGAGGTTTGGAAGAGGAAGGAACTTCAACCAGGGGTGATGGGAGCAGGGCAGACAGCAAGGACAGCAAGGGAGTTGGGCTTACAGTCAACAAGAGAATTGGAACAATCAGGGGTGGAATCGAGGGGATAGTCGCCCCACAGACAAAGCTACTACTCAGCCATTCTCTGAAGGTACAAGATCTGGTTCCTCTGCTGAAGTGAGATGCTATCGTTGCTTAGATATGGGGCATCATCAATCTGAATGTGATAAAGAACCTGTATGCTACAAATGCAAGCAAAAGGGGCACATGGCAGTTGATTGCAGAATCAGCAAGAAGCTCAAAATATGTGGATTCGGTATCCTTGGCCAAGGCTTCTACGCCATTGACATCCTAGAGGCAAGAATCAAAGTGGCTCAGGCGACTGGTTTTGTAACTGTGTTAGAAGGTGATGCTTCAGAGGATAAAATAGCTAAGGAATTAAAGAACCTTGTCAGGGGAGACTGGAATTTCAGGGTGAAGAAGACAGATAAAAAGGAATACATGGTCATGTTTCCTGACAAGAGCACATTAGGGATCTTTGCCAAACTGTTAGAGTTTGAGATGCCCCTCTATGGACTAAAGGGCAAAATTGATGTTGCCAATTTTGATCCTGAGTCTTCATCAGTGCTACATACAGTTTGGGTGAAGATATCCAATATTCCTGGGACTGCAAAAGATGTAGAAACTGTTAGGGAAATTGCTTATTTGGTGATTGAACCAATTGTAGTCGATGAGGTTAGTTTGATCAAAGCTGGTCTTGTGAGGGTACAGGGGAGATGCAGGAACCCTTCTCTGATTAAGGGCTCGATTGAGGTATTTTTCAATGGCTCATGTATTCCTATTGGTTTTGAAGTAGAAGATCACAAGGGTCTAGTCAAGGGTGGCAAAGGTGGTCCTCCTGGTCCAGGGGTTGGGAAACCTGGGGGGCCAGACAAATATCAGGATAATCACCAACAAGGGGATAGGAAGAGAGGAACTGATAAATTCAAGAGATTTGGCAAGATTGATAGGGACATGGATTCTAACCAAGATGATTCGATGGAGGACTACTTGGGTAAAGGATCTTCAGGAAATCATAGTGAGATTGGCAAGGAAGCTATGGTTACTCCTCTGGTAGCTTCTCATCCTGAACTGGGACATATTTCCATGAATAGAAGCCCTATTGTGGTAATCCAGGACATCCATGATATATCCTTGAACAAAATGACCACTTGACTGGTGAGGGTGCCGGGATGAACTCGATTAGGGTAGATGTGGGGTCTGTAAACAACAAAGGGGGTGAGATCCATACTTATAAGAAGGAGATCCTTGGAAGTGAAAATCAGTTTGTCGTGCATGGGGCATGTGGTCCTTTCCTGATGGACAAGAACAAGTGGGCCAAAATGCTTCTGGCTACAGAATATCACCACAAGAATAGGATGGGCTAGGGGAGCTCACCCAGGAGGATAATGTGACTGCCCAACTGGAAAATAGTGATACTCTATCTTTAGGGAAGGAAGCTGCTGAGGGAGACATTCACAAGACAAAATTGGTGAAAGAGGGCATCAGGAACTTTGATAAACAGCTTGAAGAGGAGGATTTCATGGATTATATTTCTGATCAAAGTAAGAATTTAGATATGGAGAACGACTGTCAGGGGTGGCAGTCCCCAAAATCCAAGAAGTCCAAGAAGAAGAACATGCACAGCTGATGGTAGCTACCAGAACAAGCAGTCGGGTGCCAAGGGATGGCATACTTATTGCTACAAAGGCCGCTAATAGAGCCAAAGCCATGAACACTATAACAGGTGCTATTACCACAACAAATCCTTTTACTGTTCTTAACAATGCTTCTACTGCTTTCTTAGAGAAGGTTATTATAGATTTAGACATTGAGGTAGAAAATGTTGAGGAACAAATTGATATCTTTAGGGCGGAGGAGCTTGCTAGGGCAGCCTATTGCTGAAGCAAATTACAAAGCCTTTTTAGAAAAACAGAAAGAGAGGCAGGGGCCTTTATCTGATTCATAGTTAGAAGATTTAGCCATGGAGGCTATTGATAATCGAGGGAGAGGCTATTGATAATCAAGCCAAGGGAGGCTTTGATAGTAATACCCAGAGTGCTTATATTGAAATCACCTCCTCTAGTGAAAACAATGAGGTGCATGTTTTGGAATGTTAGGGGTTTGGGGAGAGCTCATAGAAGAGGGTTAGTTCTTAAACATGTCATTCAGGAAAACCTAGATATTGTGGGTATTCAAGAGACTATTAAGCAAGAGTTTAGTGATCAAGAGTTGAAAGATATGTCTGGTACTGTGTATTTTGTTTGGAAATGGATTCCAGCAAAAGGTCACTCAGGAGGGTTACTGTTAGGGGTGAAGATGGAGAGTTTTGAAATAGAGCAAGTTGAGTTGGCTGGTTATTTTTTGGGTTGTTTGATAAGGAATAGGCTAACTAATTTTAGGTTCTGGGTCCTTAACGTTTATGGGCCTGCCCAACATGAGTTGTCTGAGGAGTTCATTTTGGAATTATCAAACTTCTGCACTAGTGAAGTACTTCCTATGGTGTTAGTAGGGGATTTTAATCTCATTAGAAGTAACAAGGATCGAAATCAGGGTCAAGGGGATCTTAAACTGATGGAACTTTTTAATAATTTCATTGGGTCTTTTCACCTTAGGGAAATTTTTGTCAGTGGGGTTAAGTTTACTTGGTCTAACAAATAGAAAAACCCCACATTGGTGAAACTAGATCGTATTCTCGCCACTACTAGCTAGGACTTGAACTATTCTCATAGTTTTGCTTGGTCTAAAGTTAGAGTTGGCTCTGACCATTCACCACTCATCATAGATACTAGAGAGCAAGGAGCCTCCAGGCCTAAATATATCTTTTTTGAGGAAAAATGGATACATCATGAAGGTTTTTATGATCTCTTGAAAACTAAGTGGGGGGAATTTAAGTGTGGTTCTGTTAATACTCCTTATTCTCTGGATGTGTGGCATGGGTGCTTGCAATCCTTAAGACATTACTTGAGAGGGTGGAGTCTGAGAATTTCTGGTGAAAACAAAGAGACCAAGAAAAATATTGCCATTAGAATTGAAGAAATTGGCATAATTGCTGAAAAAAGATTGTTAAGTAACTCTGAGTGGGAAGAAAGAATTAACCTAGAAGAGACCTTGGATAAAATGAATTTAATTGAGGAGCTTCAATGGAAACAAAAAGTGGAACTAACTGGATCTTGCAAGGGGATGCAAATACCTAGTTTTTCTACCAGTTTGTTAATGGGAGGAGGAGAAAGAAAACAATTACCTTTCTTGAAAATGGTAATGAGGAAATTAGGGGCCAAAATGCTATCTCTTCACACATTGTGGACTACTACAAGAGTCTCTTTGGGCATGATGAGTCCTGTAGCATGTCTCTGAATTCTGAATTTTGGCCTGCTGAGTTACAGTTGTCTGAGTCAGATAGCCTGGATTTAGTCAAACCTTTCTCCATGGAGGAGATTAAGAAGGTAGTAATGGGGATGAAAGAAAACTCAGCCCCTGGTCCCAATGGCTATGGGGTAGTGTTTTTTAAGAAATTTTGGGAATATATTAAGGAGGAGTTGAAGAGTATGTTCACATACTTTTACAATGACAAGCTTGATATTAAAAGGTTGAACTATGGGGTGATTACATTGGTACCTAAACTTAAAGAAGCAAACAACATCAAACATTTTAGGCCCATCTGCTTATTGAATGTAGACTTCAAATGTTTTACTAAGGTCCTTACCAACAGGCTAGGTCCAGTGGCTAAGAAGATTATTAGTAAGAATCAAACTAGTTTCATTAAGGGGAGGAACATCTTGGAGGGGGTTGTGGTTTTACATGAAGTTATACATCAACTGAAATCTTCTAAGAAAAAGGGGCTTATTCTGAAATTAGATTTTGAAAAGGCATATGATAGGGTTAGGTGAAGCTTTTTAGAACAAGTCATGATAGGAAAAAGTTTCCCTGTAACTTGGATCTCTTGGGTGATGAAAACAGTAAGAGAGGAAAAGCTGTGTATCAATGTCAATGGGGAAATGAGTCCCTAGTTTAAGACATTTAGAGGTTTAAGGCAAGGAGACCCTCTTTCTCCACTTATGTTCAATCTAGTAGATGATGCTCTAGGTGTGCTCCTTGATAAAGCTTCTAAAAAGGACATATTAAAGGGGTTCTTGAAGATCTTTTACCTGGGGGTATTACACATATTCAGTACGCTGATGACACAGTGATCATGATAGATGGATTTGCAACTTCAATAACTAACCTAAAACTGATTTTATATTGCCTTGAATGGCTGACTAGATTAAAAATAAACTACCATAAGAGTGAAGTGTATGGCTTTGGAGTTTCACGGGTAGAGAAGGAAGAAATGGCTAATATGCTTAATTGTGTCCTGGGTGATCTACCTTTGAAATATCTAGGGATTCTAATTAGTGACCATCATTTAACCATGGGGGCTTTTAGCTTTTTGCCTTAGAAAATGATAACTAGACTTGACCCATGGAAAGGGAAATTCTTAACTTCGGGTGGGAAACAAATCTTAACCAATTCCTGTTTGAGAAGCCTACCTTTGTATTGTATGGGTTTTTACTAGTTGGCTGATGGGCTTCATAAGAGAATGGATACCATTAGGGCCAATTTTCTTTGGCAGGGGGCTGAGGACAAGTTTAAATACCACATGGACAAATGGGAAATGGTATGCAGACCAAAAGACCAAGGGGGCCTGGGGATGATAAACACTAGAATTATGAATGACTGCTTAATGGTCAAGTGGATTTGGAAGATTTTCCAGGAGCTTGATGAACTTTGGTTTAAGATTCTTATAGAAAAATATATGGGTGAGGGGGGGTTCTTTGAGTCTAAGATAAAGGGAGTGTCTCAATTTTGGCAAGGCCTCCATAAAGTGAAGCATCTTTTTAAATGGGGTGCTGTGTTCAAAGTGAGAAATGGAGATCATTGCAAATTTTGGGAAGGCAGTTGGGCCAAAGAGGTTCTGTTAGATAATCTACTGCTTCCTTGTGTGAACATACAACAAGGGAAGGCGACGCCGAAAAGGCTTCCTGCTGTGGTACTGTAGCCGTGGTAGAGGCACGCGCCGAACGGCTCACCTGTTGTACTGTAGCCACATGTAGGGACAGGCGTAGAAGTCAGTCCTGCTGTGTTATCTAGTTACTATTGCAGCATGGAAGCTGTACTAGGACTAGATGGATAGAGTTGTATATATAATTTGCTACTGCAACTCAACAAAGAGAGTTCAGTTTTGCCATCTCCTATACAGGGCTCCAGCCAACGCTGGTGCTTGTACTGAGTGTGTGCTCTGTTCTCCCTCTTCTTCTACCTTGAGCCATAGTGTGTGTGGTCGGACAGCCTCTGTCGTGCTCGGCCGTGGTCGGCAAGACCGGTGAGTGGTCGACTCACCTGAGTCGGTGATCCTGTGGGCTAACAAGTGGTATCAGAGCCGTACAAACGTCGTCGTTGGACTAACCGCTGGCGATGACGAACGGTTCAGAAATGGGCAACAGCAATGGCACTACTGTGGCTGCCCAACCACGGCTAGAGGTCATTGTTCGCATGGTGCGGGAGGTCAGCGGCACCAGTTGACCGACACTGACTCGCACCAACTATGGAGAGTGGTCGGTGGCCATGAAGGTCAAGCTCAGAGACCGACGGCTCTGGAATGCTGTTGACAAGGGCACTGACAATGAGGAAGATGACATGTCATCGTTGGAGGCTATCCTCGCTGCTGTACCACGCGCTAACGGATGTATATTACATCCCGCAGCTATGTTCGAGCATCATCAGCATTGGTCAGCTGGATGAGCGCGGTAGCGAGGTACTGATCAAGGACGGAGTCCTTAGGATCAGGGACCAGGAGCAATGACTTCTCGCCAAGGTGAAGAGGTCCCAGAACCGGTTGTACCTACTCGACCTAAAGGTAGAGCAGCCGGTGTGCCTGGAGGCAAGGCACACCGAGGAACCGTGGCTGTGGCATGCCCGGTTCGGACATCGCAACTTCGACCTGCTTGGTCGGCTTGAGAAGATGGTCCGAGGGCTACTCTACATCAAGCACGGAGGCGATCTGTGTGACAGCTGTCTGGCCGGGAAGCAGAGGAGGCTACCGTTCCCAAAGGCGGCCAAGTATCGCGCGAAGGACGCTCTCGAGCTCGTCATCCTGCTCATGAATGATTACAGTCGCTACATATGGCTGCAACTCCTGACGAGCAAGGACAAAGCGGCGGCGGCGATCAAGAAGTTCAAGATGCGCGCGGAGGCTGAGGGCGGCAATAAGCTCCACGTGCTGAGGACTGATCGTGGCGGTGAATTCACTTCGGTGGAGTTTGCTGCGTACTGCGCGGATCAGGGTGTGGTGCGACACCACACCGCGCCGTACTCGCCACAACAGAATGGCGTGGTGGAGAGGCGGAACCAGACGATGGTTGGCATGGCTCGATCCATGATGAAGGCCAAAGGCATGCCGACAAGGTTCTGGGGTGAGGCTGTGACCACGGCGGTGTTCATCCTCAACCGTGCTCCGGCCAAGGCCCTAACGGGCAAGACACCGTTCGAAGCTTGGTATGGGCGCAATCTGAGCGTGCCCTTTCTCCGGACATTCGACTATATCGACCACGTCAGGAAGATGAAGCCGATCCTCACCAAGCTGGAGGATAGGAGCACACCGATGGTGTTCTTGGGCTACGCGGAGGGTACCAAGGTGTACCGGCTCTACGACCCATGCGGAGACAAGGTGCTTGTCTCGCATGACGTTGTGTTCGACGAGAAGGAGGCTTGGGACTGGAGCAGTCCGAGCACGGGGAAAGCTGGCGGCTTCACCAACACCTTCATCGTTGAGCACCTGGTCATCCACGGTGGTGGAGACGCCGGGGAAGAGGTGCCGAGCACTACAGCAATAGAGCCGAGCACTCCTGGGGCGGTGCCGAGCATTT